CCCCCTGCGCCTCGCCGACAAGCCGTCAGGCGGGGGGCCAAGAGGTGGAGCAGGCGGGCACGGCCAAGGATCGCGGGGAGGCGGCCCCAAAAGGTACGGGTCGTCCCGGTCCATTGCACGCATAGATGAGCGGGAGAAAGATCCAAGAGAACATCGAGCACCCATCCCAACCTGGGACAGCGCTGCCGCCCAGTGGGTGATATCAATGTTCGCACCTGGAAACAGGCGCAGCAAGGCAGACAAGTCAGCGACAAATGGCGCGACGTTGGCAAGAGCAGCAGGGGTGCTTGAAGGAGAACAAGCACCAGCAAGAACACCAACCTCAGGGGCTGCAGGCCCCATGGGGGGAGCGCTCGACTGAGGCAGGTGACGGCCAAAATGGCCGAATGGATCCGAGGGGCGGTTCGGAGCAGAGCGAGGGGCGTGGTGGCGGAACGTACTCCTCCCTGCGGGGCCGCAACAGCATCGCTGGAGGAGCGCATTCCTACCCTCACGCCCTCGCTGCGCCCAAACACGCCTAGCAGCCATAGCAGCGTCGGTGCAGACTGTCTGCGGCGGCGTACCTCGGCCACGCGAAGGCCCCCCCTCCAAGAAGGCGGGCGCCAAGGGCATCTTCAGTCCTTCTTGGGCACCGCCTTCGGGGCCTTGGGAGCACCCTGAGATTTGAAGGGGGGCTTTGAGACCTTGGGCTGCTTGGGCTGATGAGGTGGATGCTTGGGGGGCGCGACGGCGCGCTCGGCGTCGAGGCGCGCCCGAAATGCTTGCAGCTCCTTCATGTATTCGCCCTGCGCCGACAGCCAGCGAGGATCCACTAGGGGTGAAAACGGGGTCTGGGCCTCGCGCTCCGTGTGACGACTGGTCACGCGACACGGGGGAGGCTCCAGCCCCGTGAGGAACCAAGCGGCCTCGAGGTAGCCGCGGTCCCCCGCCAACTGGTCGATGAACATGCACTGGCAAGTCAGCAAGGTCTGGACCCTCTCGGGGTTGCCCTCCTCGCAGGCCCGCCACAGCTCGGCGCTGAGGAAGGCAAAATGCGTCAACAACTCGTGCGTCGACGGCTGAGCCCCGAGGGGGCTGTGCTCGCGAAAGTACTGATGCATGGCCATGGGGGTCACGGCGCTGACTTCCACGCCCAGAACGCGGGCCAAATTCTCCTTCATCAGTCCTCGCACGTCGGGGCCGTGCTGCATCAGCGCTTGCTGCCACTCGCGCCTCCGAGCGATTCCCCCCATCTGAGCCGATGCGTGCGCGGGGTCGCCCGAGGTCGCGGGCGGAGTTTGAGCTTGGTCGCTCAGGGTCCCCAGAAGCGGGTGGAAGGCTGGGCGATGGCCCCGCCCCTGCTGCAAGGAAAGGGACTGGTGCAGGCACTGAAGCATGAGGCTGAAGTCCGTCGGATTGGCCGCAAGGGGCGGCTCTAACCCGTCGGCGCCGCCCGCCTCGGCAAAGCCGTCGACCGCAGCGGGATGGGCTAGCCCAGGCGGCGGCGGGGGGCCCATCGGTCCGAAAGCGGACGAAGGGGCCCGAGGGACAGCAGAAGAGCGCGCCTTCTCCCACGCCGAGACCAGCGCGGAGGTGGGTCCCTTGGGGCGCGCGGAGACCCGATGAGGGGCCACGGGTGCGTGGGACAAGACGGCCTCGATCCCCGCAGGATCCAGCCCGAGGCGCGCCGCCTCGTCGCTGAAAAGCTGAGGCACCTCGGGCCGAGCGCTCTGGGCAGCCGGAGCGGGGCCCAGCGGTTCGGGTCCGCCGACCATCGTGGAGGCCGCGTGGGCTGCAAGCAAGGCGCGCATTTCGGCAGCTACCTCGGCGCGGGTCATGGGAGCCCCGTCGTCCAGAGACGCCGCAGGAGCGCCAGGAGCAATCGGAGCAGGACCCGCGACCCGTGGCGGCGCGGCGGCGCCAGCGCGCTTGGCGGGCGGGCCGCGCGGCGCTCCAGCGACCGCGGGGGCTCGCGCACTTGGGGCCGCGCGGTCGGCTTCCCCGTCGGCCGCGAACCCCTCGGGCTCCTCCATCTCGTCGGCAGAGTGGTAGGGGGTAGCCCGATCGGCCCCTGGGAGAGGCTCTTCCCCTGCGGTAGGCGGGGCGCCGTGCAAACGAGCGTAGCCCTCGCGAAGCACCCGAACCCCCGAAGGATGCGGCCAATAGACGCGGCTGCGCACCTCGGCGAAGGGAACGATGCCTGCGTCGTCGCCGACCTCTAGAGGGTACAGCGACTCGAGCTCGAGCTCGGCAACCTCGATATCTATAACGAGGACGGATGCGGTAGTGGCGAGCGGCCGTGAAGCGGCCCCCTGGAGCTGGACGTCCACTAGCTGGAAGGGGCCTATCATCCCAGCAAAGCCATCCGCCTCGGCAGCCTCGAGCTCCGCTGTAGAGCGAAAGGCACCAGGCAGGGCCAGCAGGATGCCCCCTTCTCGAGAGGCGAGGGGGATAGCCGCCCAGCTGGTGTCGCCGTCGTCTAGGCGCCATCGTGCGTAGTCGCGCGCCGTGGGCGCAGCGAAAGGGTAGAGCTCGGGCCAAAGGGGCCCTCCGCCAACTGGTGGCAGCTCCGCCATCAGTGGGCGCCGCCGTGGACGCCGCCGCCCGCACGCTGGGCGTCTGCCCGCTCGAGCGCTTGAGGTCGAGGCGGAGCCCCGTAGGCCAGCGCTCGCGCCGCACGGCGGTCCTGCTCAGGTGAAGCAGAAACCGCGCCGCGCGGCCAGGCGGAGGGCCAGAGCCTCCGCCACACGTACGGGCCCAGCAGCCCGAGGCAGCAGCCCGCGCAGGCGCTGCAGGCGGCCGTCACCCAGAGGAGGGCGGCGACCGTGCTGAGCAGCCAGGGAGAGACCCCGCCGCTCAGGTCCACCGCCAGCCCGAGGCAGACGGTGGGGCAGGTGGAACCCGCCGAAGGGAGAGGGCAGGAGGCCCCCTCGCCCTCGGACGAGTCCGCCTGCAGGATGGACCAGGCAGGAGCTGGAGGCCCCTGGTCCTGAAGCACAGAGAGGGGGGCAGCCACGAGCCGCTCGTAGAGCGCGGCCCGCAGCCCCCTGAACAAAATCTCCCCAGCGCCCTGGAGAGCCGCTTGTGCGACCGCCTGCATAAGGCGCCCGCGCGCGCGGCCGACGGGGGGCACTTGGGCAGAGAAGCTGCGGAGACAGCAGGAGCTTGCTCACAGAGAATAGAAGAGGCATCAACAACATCGTCAGCATCGTCATCATCATCATCATCATCATCGTCATCAGCATCATCATCATCATGATCATCATCGTCGTTATCATCATCATCGTCATCATCAGCATCCTCATAATCCGCATCAGCAGCAGCATCATCATCGTCAGCATCATCACCAGCATCATCATCATCATCATCAGCATCATCATCAGCAGCAGCATCGTCGTCGCCATCATCAGCAGCAGCAGCACCACCATCCTCATCAGCATCATCAACATCATCAGCAGCAGCATCATCATCAGCAGCAACAGCATCACCAACATCAGCATCATCATCATCAGCATCATCATCAGCAACAGCATCACCAGCAGCAGCATCAGCAGCATCAATCTGAGCATCAGCATCAGCAACATCATCAGCAGCATCAGCATCACCATCATCATCATCAGCAGCATCATCATCATAATCATCATCAGCAGCAGCATCACAATCATCGTCATCAGCATAAACATCTCATCAGCATCATCATCATCAGCAGCAGCATCATCATCATCATCATCATCGTCATCAGCATCATCATCATCAGCATCATCATCACCATCATCGGCATCATCATCATCGGCATCATCATCAGCATCATCAGCATCACCATCATCATCCTCATTCTCCGCATCATCATCATCATCATCATCATCAAGATCAGCTTCATCATCATCAGCAGCATCATCATCAGCATAGTCATTGTCATCATCATCAGCAGCATCATCATCAGCAGCAGCATCATCAGCATCATCATCAGCATCATCAGCATCACCATCATCATCATCATCAGCAGCAGCAGCATGATCATCATCGGCATCAGCATCAGCATCAGCATCATCATCGTCGTCAGCCTCATCGGCATCGTCATCGTCATCATCATCACCATCATCGCCATCAGCATCATACGCATTACCAGCAGCATCATCATCATCAGCAGCAGCAGCATCAGCATCATCATCACCATCATAAATGTCAACATCAGCATCATCATCCTCACCATCGTAATCATCATCATCATCAGCAGCAACATCAACAACATCAGCATCATCATCATCATCATCATCATCACCATCATCATCATCATCCGCATCATCATCACCATCATCATCATCATCATCATCATCAACATCACCAGCAGCATAATCATCATCATCATCCTCTTCCTCATCCTCCCCATCCTACCCATCCTACCCATCCTGCTCCTCCTCCGCATCCTCTTCTTATCCGCCGGCCCCCTTGTGGGGCCACCAGGCTGTAGGCCCGTGATTCGCAGTTTCCTGTACCAGTCGTAGGTTGTAGTTTCCAGTGTTACAGTTCTGCTTCTTGCTGGTTACTGTAACTAGTTGATTGACCGCGCGAGGGGGGGGAGGCCCAAACGGGATTTTTAGCACCCCCTGGGCGCGTTGTCTGAATTGCTGGGGGGGCTCGAAATCGACACCCCTCACACAGATCGGCGGGGTCAGGGTCCAAAAACACACGGGATTTGTCACATTTCTGAAATTCGGTGCCACCCCTCATGCAGATCCGCGGGGTCAGGGTCCAAAAACACACGGGATTTGCTACATTTCTGAAATTCGGTGCCACCCCTCACGCAGATCCGCGGGGACAGGGTCCAAAAACACAAGGGATTTGCTACATGTTTGAAATTCGGTGCCACGCCTTACGCAGATCCGCGGGTGCAACGCTCCTTTGACACAAATGAGCTGCGGACGTCAAACGATATCGATAAGAACAGATACCACTGATTGTGCACGTGAAGGGAAACACCCCCTCTCGGACGCAGCGGACAGCGGGCCAAAGCCCCACTCCCGCGGCGCCAAGGCCGCGCATGCCTGCAGGCCTCTCGCCCGCCAGGTCCGTGCACGGCCGACCACTCTCAATGCACGTCGTCCGCGCCTCCCGCATCAGTGCGGGACCTCTAGGTCCGTGGAAAAGAAAAGGAAAGAAAGAAAACTCATGCATCTGCCCGGCGCCATGCACCCTAGAGAGTGCGATGGAGCCGGCTGCCCTCGTCGCGCACCTTAAAGCCCATAGCCTCAAAATGCCGCCTCAGATGTGTCTGGTCCAGCGCCTTTGTGAACGCATCGGCCGGGCTCTGGAGCCCCGGCACGTGCTTGATCTCCACTTTGCCTGCCTTGACCTGGTCCTGCAGCCACAAGAATCTCGTGTCTATATGGCGGACAGCGCCAAGGCCTTGCCGCGTGGCGATGCCCTCGGCCGCCACGCTGTCACTGCGCAGTAGTGGCCTCTCTAGATGCTGCAAGCCGAAATCGTGGAGCATTGACTGAAGCCCCAGAGCGTGGCTCGCACCCTTCAGCATCGCATAGTACTCGGACTCCCCTGAAGACAGCGCGACTGTGGTCTGCTGAGTGGAAGCGTGCTTCACGAGATGGGAGCCGAGCATGAGCATCATGCCACTGCGCGACTTCCTGGTGGTAGCCTCGCCAGCCCAGTCAGCGTCTACAAAGATCTCGACGCGCGTGGGGACTTCCTGCAGCTTGAACACCAGCGAGCCGGCCCTGGCCTGCTTGAGATATCGTCCCAGGCGCTTCAAGTCTATCATGTCCGACTCGCGTGGCGTCTTCATCGACTTGGCCAGAGAAGACGCTATGTAGCTGAGGTCCGGCCTGTCCTGCCCGATGTAGCTCGCGCGCATGACCAGCGAGCGGTAGAGCTTGGACTGTGCGTCGTCGAGCGTCTGGGACTGCGAGGCTTCTATCATCTCGGTCACGCTCTTCTTGACCGCAGGCGTCTGCACCGGCTTGGCGTCGCACAGGTGCAGGTCTCGAAGGATCATGTCGACGTGACGGACGTCAGACTCGATACGTGCTTCGCCTGCGGCGGGATCCCAGATGAGCACGCGGTTCAGGTAGACCGTGCTCTGGACCCCTTCGGCCGCCGAGGAGAGGCGGCCCGTGACCTTGTAGTCATACTTCTTCAGCAACTCGTCGAACCAGGCCTCGTCGTCTGCATACATCAGCCCGCCGAAGTCGTCGCCATGCACCTCGAGGGCGATGTCACGCCCTGGGTGCCACAGGATGGCGGGGCTCGACTTCCCCTGCAGGAGCTCGACGGACTTGAGCAGCTCGACGTAGTCTCCCTGCCAGACCTGGCTCGCATCCATCGTGCCGTACATCGTGCGAAGGAGAAGCCCGGCAAGCGGCTCCTCCTCGCCCTGACGCTCCTCGGGTGGAAGCTCCACCCAGAGGCGCCTCTGCACGTGCCCGTAGAAGTGGGCACGCGACACGTCGTAGAACTTGTACAGCACCTCGCGGGGCTCCGAGCTCTGGAACTGCTCGAACGCCCTGCTGAGGAAAAGGCTGACCAGCGCCTTGAACGCCTCCAGCGGTGGCGTCCCCGAAAAGAGGTCCTGCTGCGGCGGCAGCAGCCCCTCGGCGCGCCGGCGGACCTTCATCTCCCGTGCCACGAGCCTCGAGCGATACAGCGGTCGCTCGAGGTCCCCCTTGTTGGTGTCCATCCACCGCGTGTCGATGGCGCGACCTCCCTCCGCCTCCATCTCGCGGCGTGGAACCTTCTTCCACACTCCGCGGCTACGGCGCCACTCCAGCTCCTCAGCCCTGGCCTCCTTCACCTTCAGCGGGTCGAGGAAGCCCCCGCGGACGTCGTCCACGAACGCCTCCGCCTCCTGGTCCATGTCCTCGGCGTGCGGCGAGGGCCCGGCGGTGAAGCCCGCCAGGTCAGACAGCGATTCTCGAGCTCGAAGTTCCTCCCTGAGGCCGCGAAGGATGGCTCTGACCAGGCGGGGTGGGTACACCTGCGCCCTTAGAGCCCTCTTGTCACCGAGCAAGTGCACGTGCCGGTAGGGTTCGCCGCCGATTGACGGGCAGCGGCACTCCCCAGCAAGGATGCCGGCCAAGACCTGTGAGTTCGTCAGCCAGCCCGTCTCCTTGCGCACGAATGCCTCGCGCCCATCGGGCCCCCGAGCGTGGAGGCCCCAGCGGCACATCGGGCCGCGCACCAAGTACGCGCCCGGCAACTCCTTGACCCTCTGGACGCACGGCCGCGACCAGGAGGATGCGCCCCAGGGGTGCTCGAGCAGGAAAAGTGCTCCTCGCTGATGCCTGCTCTCGCACACCTTCATGGAGAACTCCAGGTGCGTCTCGCCCTCGAGGACCTCGGAAGCCACGATGCCCTCGTCCCGCTTGAAGTTGCTGAGCTGCCTGAGCTTGGAGAAGACCGTGCACGGCGGTGAGGTCACCGTGAGGAGAGGGTCGTCCTCCAGCAGCTTCTTCATGGCTGCTCGGCGGTGGTCCTCGCGAAGCAAGTCCCAGCCGGCGTAGAGGTCCGCCGCGAGGCCTGCTGTCAGGGCCATGCCGAGCGCCTTACCCTTGAAGCGCTCGGGCGAGTAGACCTCTGCGAGGTCGACCCCGTTGATCTCGGTCAACAGCGCGGATACCTCCTTCAGCTCCTTGATCGACATGGCGTTGTCGCCGATCAGGTCCGTGGCGCTCACCAGCGCCAGGATCTCCCTGTAGACCTTGCCCTTGACCTCGTCAAAGGCGCCGACGTCCATGGAGCTGCCAGCCCGCGCAGCTGGCCCTGCCAAGTCCTCCATGTCGCCTCCTCCTCTAGCCCCCTCTGGGCTAGGCGCGGGCTGTACCAGCCCGGCGGACGCTGCCGCGCTCGCCGGTCCAGCCGACGAGCTCGAGCCTCCGTCCACGATCATCTGCCCGTGGAGGTCCGGCTCGCTCCCGGCTCTCTTGAGCCCCCTTGGCCCGTCTCGCAACTGCGGCGGGCGGCGCTCCTCGGCGGATACGCTCGCAGCACGCTTCCTCGATGCTGCCGGTGGCGTCGCCGGGGCGCTCGCACGTGGACCTGCCCTGGCCACGTCCGCGCCGGGTCCTGCCGCGGCGCCTCCTCCGCCGCTGGCCGCGGCGGCTCCTCCGCCGCTGGCTGCGGCCGCTCCAGGCTGGGGCGCCGGCTGCGCCGCGCTCTCCTCCGCCTGAGCCTCGCGAGCACTCGCCCTCAAGTGGTGCTCCGCCAGTCTCCGCTGGCCTGCCGAGTCCTTCATCAGCTCGGCCTCGATGCGATCGCGGCACTCTTGAGAGTGCGCGACCCGCGCCGACCCCCTTGCCATGAGGTCTGCGCAACCTGGACACCCCGGAGTGGCTCCGAAGCGTTCGATGTCCTTCTTGAGTACGTAGCGCCTCCTGACCACGGTGTCGTGGTCCTCCTGCGTGTCTCTGGTCACGGTGATCGGGCCCACGGGCTGCGCGAGCAACGCCGCGGGGGAAACCTCCCACGGCAGCCCAGCAAGCCTGCCCCATGACCCTGGCGCCTCCGGTGACCATGCATGGGCTCGATGTAGGCGCTTGAAGCCCTGGGCCCGCACTACACCCGACTGCGTCATGACGAGCAGCGCGCCTGTCCGCGAGTGGTAGCCCACGAAGTGCCCCATGAGCATCTTGGGGGCCACCGTGCTCCTCTCGTCTCCGACTCCGAGAGGTCGGTAGTGCACCCTCTCGCCGAACTCCGCCGCGAACTTCCTCCAGGGGCGGCCGCGCCTCCGCTGCTCGGCCGACATGCCGTCAACGCCGAGCCTGAACTTGGAGATGGAGTCCGCGGCAAACTGGGGCAGCCACCTGGCGATGGGATGCCCGGGCGAGATCTCGAAGCCGAAGGACTTCTGCATGGAGAAGAAGTTCGCTCGGATGACCTTCACCTCCTTCACGCTGGCTTCGACCTCGCCGTTGCTCTCGTGCTCGCCCTTGGGCGACTCCTGCGGGATGCACTCGACATGCTGGCCCACACCAACCATCACTGCATTCTTGATCGCACAGATGCTCGCCTCGCCGTCGGACTTGAGCACGACGCGGCGGTGCCCGAGGTGCTTCAAGAAGCCCACGAGCCACTTGACCACGAAGTCGGACGCGGTCTTGTCCTTGACGGCGGTCGCCCCCTTCATGCCGTACTTGCGGTCCGTCACCACTAAGATGGGGATGGAGCCGTCGTCCTCCACGTCCTGGACCTTCTCCCCGATGAAGGCGAAGTCCATGCTGACGACCGGGTCGGCGCCATCACGATCCTCAGGTCGCCGGGCGTGCTGGGCGCCCAGGCCGGCTGCCCGCGCGCACTCCTCGCACCACGAGCGGTAGACCGCGTGTCCGGATGCCAAGTGCTGCTCCCGCTCGGCCTGCGTCGGCGCCCTGCCACGGCGCGCGACGCGAGCGGGTGCCACTTCCGGCGCCTGCTGCTCCTCCTCCTGGCCCACGTCTAAGTCCGTGAGCGGCGCTGGGCCCGGGCTCCCAGCAACAGCGCCGCCTCCTCCCGGCCTTACGGCCAGGCCTGCCGGTGAGGGACTGGCGACCCGCCGTCGACCGGGCACAGGTCCCAGCTCTCGCGGTGGTCGCCGAACGAGACCCTCCTGACGTGGCCTCCCTCGTTCTTCTTGATGTAGCCTGCGTAGATGCCCTTCTCAACGTACAGAGGCACCACGCCCGGCTCGCTCCACACAGCATCACGGATGAGAGCGTCAACGCGGTTCACGATGTCCGAGCCGGCCGGGAGGATGTAGCCACCCTCCTTTGTCAGCCATGTGGCCCGACCCGTGCGGTGAGTCTGCGAGGCCGAGACCAGCGGTTTGTGGATGCTGGCCAAGCGCGCCTTCAGTCTGATCGGCTCGCTCCACTCGGATCGCCCTTGGATGCATACCCCGCCCGAGTCGGCTATGATCTCACCGCTGGCCGTCCGATAGCTCGCGTTCGGATCGGCCGGGAGCCTCTCGCCCTTGGTGTTCTCAGGGAAGGTGGTCACGGCCGCGCCCGAGTCAAACGTGAACCTGATCCACTCCTGGTCGTCGACGGTCTCGTCGAAGCTGTTGAGCTCAAACGCGCGCAGCTCGAAGGAGCCGAGGTTCGTGGAGCCCACCTGGCTCGCTGAGGGCGGAAGGCTGGTGACCGTGCTGTTGTTGCCGTCCTCCCAGTTGTCTCCGTGCACCGGCTGGCCCGAGCTCGACGCGGCACCGGGCTCGAAGGAGTTGGTGTCCCAGCGGCGGTTCTTGCCCTTGGACTTGTCCTTGTCTGTGTCCTTGCCCTTACCTTTGCCTTCGCCGCCCTTGCCGTCGCCGGTCTTCCCGCCAGGCAGGCGGGCAGTGCACTCATTCGACGTATGGCCCCAGCCACTGCAACGCCAGCACTGCACCGTCCGCTTGTCACGCGGCTTGGGAGTCTGGCCCTTCTTGCCGTTCTTGTCACCCTTGCCTTTGGACTTGCCCTTGCCTCCTTTGTACAGCGAGTCAACGTCCATCGGGTCACCTCGCTTCCGTCGGAGGAGGGCACCTTGCGACTGTCTCGACTCCAGGAAGCTCCGGATCTCCTCTACGACCTTCTCCGACGTGTCTAGCCTATGCTTGTTCATCGCGAGGTGGAGTTCGAGCTCTTCCGGCACCATGGTCTCCAGGGCCGCGACCTTCGCGTCGTCGTCGACCACCTTGCCCATGCCATCTGCCTTCTTCCTCTCGTACCGGCGGATGAGCTTCTCCCATTCCTCGAGCTTCGCGTACAGGTCGCTGAGGGTGCACCGCTGCGGGTTCATGATCTGCTTCAAGAGAACGCGGCGCTTGCCCCCTGACGCTGGGTCCCAGCGCCGGATGAGCTTCCTCATCGCCTCAGCGCCGTTGCCCTTGGGAGTGTTCATCACTAGGGCAAAGCTCTCACCCTCGGTCAGCGTCTGGAGTGCGACGTAAAGCTGGCTGACCTTCTCGCGGAGGTCCGGAATGAACTCATCTTCGTCATCGTCGTCGCTGCCGAACCGCGCCTCCAGAACCTCCATGCTGATCACCGTGGTCTCCTGCGCCTGGTTCTCCACCCACTCCAGCAACTTGCGGAACTGCTCTCCGAAGATCGCCGTCAGGTACGCATTGGTCTTGCGGTACCATTCCAGGAACTTGGCTTCCTCATTCTTGAAGATGGAGGGCTTGCCCAACCCCTTGGTGTCTACAAGGGAGAAGGCCGGCGCAGACGACTTCTCCTTGCGTTCTTCAGATAGCTTCTGCACAGCGTCGCCGAGCTGCTCGGCCAGACGTGGCAGATCACCCTGCGCCTGCACCTGCCGAGCGAGCTCCGTCCTGATCTGCACGTTCTGCTGCTGCATCTGCTCTGCCTGCTGGGACAGCTGGGCGTTCTGGATCCTCAGCGCTTCCACAGCGGACTGCAGGCTAGCCAAGGCCTGCCTCTCCTGCTCATTCATTGCAGCTGCCTGCGCTTGACGTAGTTGAGGTACTCACCGAGCACCGCCCAGAAGCCCTTGAGAAACTTCTGCTTCAGCACCTTCGCCACCACGTGGCGCCAGCGGCGCTGCACTCTCCCGTCGGTTTGCTTGACCGAAGCCTCTGCCTCGTCCGTCACCAGCAGCCACACGCCAGCAGCACCGATATCGCCGACGCCGTGGCTGGCGTGGGCAGGGCGGGCCGCGCGGGAGCGCGGCCTGGGGCTGGTGCGCGCGAGCGCCGGATAGACCGACGCTCCGCTACCATGCAACGCTCCTTTGACACAAATGAGCTGCGGACGTCAAACGATATCGATAAGAACAGATACCACTGATTGTGCACGTGAAGGGAAACAGCGGGGTCTGGGTCACAAAACACAAGGGATTTGCTACATTTCTGAAATTCGGTGCCACCCCTCACGCAGATCCGCGGGGCCAGGGTCCAAAAACATATGGGATTTGCCACATTTCTGAAATTCGGTGCCACCCCTCCCACGCCTTCTCAGAAGCCCCCGCGCCCACCGAGGACCACGCCCCCGTGAGCGGCTCGAAGCGTCCTTCTCTGAAGGGACTGCGTTTCTGCTCCCTCGGATGTTGCCAGAAATGCCCCTGACCCGAGGTGCCCCCCAGGATTTCCAAGGAGGCCCCCACGGCCTCCAGAGCACTCCCCACGAGGTCCAGAGGGCCCCAGGGGCTCAAAGATTCAACGAAAAGCTGGGTGCACCTTCGGCCAGGAGCACCTTTAGCAACCCAGACTCTGTCAGCGCCTCGCGGCACCAGAAAAAAAAATGGCCTGGCGACGGACCCAACCATATGCTGTTGTAAATAACGCGTTGTGGGTGCCGCTTTCGGTGGAGCCCCCTTATGGGAGGGACGTGCCGTATTGGGTGGGGGAGACGCATGCGGGCGGTGCCCCTCGCTGGAGCTCCCGATGAGGCCACGAAACGCTGCACGTGTTGGGGGAAGCGCATGCGGGCGGCCCCAGTGGGACCTTTGGTAGAGCTCCCTACGGGGCCGCGAAATGCTGTACTGGGTGGAGGCTGACGCATGCCGGCGGTGCCAATGGGGCTAGGGTGGTACTCCGTATGGGACCACGAAACGCTGTACTGGGAATGGGAGACGCATGCGGGCGGTGCCACTGGGGCCTTCCGTGGAGCTCCCGATGGGGCCACGCAACGATGTATTGGGTGGGGGGTCGCATGCGGGCGGGCCGCTGGGGGGCGGTGGCTGACGCATGCGGGCGGTGCCAGAGGGGGCTTCGGTGGGGCTCCTTATGGGTCCACGAAACGCTGTACTGAAACGCAGGGAGGGGGGAGGAGGGGGAGGAGGAGGAGGAGGAGGAGGAGGAGGAGGAGGAGGAGGGAGGAGGAAGGAAGGAGGGAAGGAGGGAGAGAGGGAACGCGGGGACCGGTTCTTTAAAACGAGAACCCAACACCACAGGATGGCTGGGAAAAAAACGCTCGTCGGACGACTGAAGGGTAACGTTACGGGGGGCTGGCTCAGGCTAGGGGGAGAGCATCGCCCTGGAAGCGGCGATACGTCGCCGATAGATTGGCGACAGGGCTCCGATAGCAGCACCGCACGGTCCTGAGCGGGGTGGGCTATCGAACCCCTATCGTCGGCGAGTGAGGGCGAGTGAGGGTCGATGCATCCCCTCCTGAGCCTATCGCCCCCCACTAACGCTGCCTTTCTCAGTTTTCGGGCTGTACCTCGGCTCTCCGGCGGCCGTGTTTTCGGGCCACACCTCGGCTCTCTGGCGGCCGTGCGGGACGATCCGGGCACCCCGAGGCGCAGCCGCTGGAACGCACCCCGACACAGGAAGACTTCCAGAGCTTCCGTCATCAACTGAGTGGCCGCAGCGGCTCTTGCCGCGGCCACCAGGTGGCCCTGCATGAGCCTCGAGCGGCCTCCACTGGCACCTCCAGTGGCCACCTGTGGCCTCTAGTGGCACCTCCGGTGGCCCTCCGCGGCCTCCAGTGGCGCCAGCACATGACTGCGGACCACTGGAGGCACAGGAACACCAGACTGAGTGAGTGCCAAGACTAGGCTCCCAAGATCGTCTTCTGAACCCTCACGTTGGCCCTGAGCCTACCCGCCCGTGTCCCTGCCGGGGAGCAGGCGCGCACCCTCAGGGCGGCGCCGCAGCGCGCGCTGCCTCGGGCATCCTCGCCGAGTCTTGGCACGCTGCGGGAAGGCGGCCCGGGGCCATCCAGGGCGGCACTGGCCGGACTCAGGGGCGTCCAAGAGGGGGTCGTCCAAGAGTAGACGATCGCGTTCCACTACCAGCAGAGTAACCACACGCAAATGGCCTGGATCCACCGCAGGGGGTTACGATCCAGTACGTCGAAGCCTAGCCATGTGTTTCTCGGACGTTTAAGAATAGGCGCTTTGCGAGTAGTGGAGCGCGCATCGGTAAAGAGAGGGGTTCGCAAGCCATGGCCCGAGGCACGTGCGCGGCGCAAGGGGGGGCTGGGGACGAAATGAAATAAGAAGAAGCGCCATGAAATCTGGGGATGGCCCTGGCCATGAGACCCATCCGCCCTAGTCATCACCCACCTTCTTGGTCGCACCCGACGGACGTGGCATAAAAAATTAGCCTGGCGAAGGACCCAACCGTATTGAGTTGTGAATACCGAAGTTGTAGGTATCGTCTTCGGTGGAGCCCCCCCGTGAGGGACACGAAAGGCTGTAATGGGTGTGGGAGACGCATGCGGACTGCGCCACTGGAACCTTCGGTGGAGCTCCCTATGGGGCCACGAAGCGCTGTACTGGGAATGGGAGACGCATGCGGGCTGCGCAACTGGGACCTTCGGTGGAGCTCCCTAAGGGGCCCCGAAACGCTGTACTGGGTGGTCGCTGACGCATGCGGGCTGCGCAATTGAGACCTTCGGTGGAGTTCCCTATAGGGCCACGAAACGTTGTACTAGGTGGGGAAAACGCATGCGGGTTGCGCCACTGGGCCTTCAATAAAGCTTCCCTATGGGGCCATGAAACGCTGCACTGGGTGTGGCTGACGCATGCGGGGAGTGCCATTGAGACCTTCGGTGGAGCTCCCCATGAAGCCACGAAACGCTGTGCTGGGTGTGGCGGACGCATGCGGGCATCCCCACTGGAGCCTTCGGTGGAGCTCGCTGTGGGGCCACGAAGCGCTGTACTGGGTGTGGTGAACGCATGCGGGCACCCCCACTGGGGCCTTTGGTGGAATTCCCTATGGGGCCACGGAACGCTGTACTGGGCGTGGCTGACGCATGCGGGCATCCCCACTGGGGCCTTCGGTGGAGCTCCCTCTGGAGCCACGGAACGCTGTACTGGGTGTGGCGGGCGCATGCGGGCACCCCCACTGGGGCCTTCGGTGGAGCTCTATGGGGCCACGAAACGCTGTGCTAGGTGTGGCGGACGCATGCGGGCACCCCCACTGGGGCCTTTGGTGGAATTCCCTATGGGGCCACGGAACGCTGGATTGGGTGTGGCGGACGCATGCGGGCATCCCCCCACTGTGGCCTTCGGTGGGGCTCCATATGAGGCCACGAAACGCTGTGCTGTGTGTGGCGGACGCATGCGGGCACCCCCACTGGTGCCTTCGGTGGAGCTCCCTATGGGGCCACGGAACATTGTACTGGGTATGGCTGGCGCATGCGGGCGGTCCAACTGAGACCTTCGGTGGAGCTCCCTATGTGGCCCCGAAACGCTGTGCTGCGTGTGGCGGACGCATGCGGGCACCCCCACTGGAGCCTTCGGTGGAGCTCCCTATGAGGCCACGAAACGCTGTACTGGGAGTGGCGGACGGATGCGGGCACCCCCATTGGGGCCTTCGGTGGAGCTCCCTATGGGGCCACGGAACGCTGTGCTGGGTGTGGGAGACGCATGCAGACATCCCCACTGTGACCTTCGGTGGAGCTCGCTGTGGGGCCACGAAACGCTGTACTGGGTGTGGCGGACGGATGCGGGCACCCCCAGTGGGGCTGCGGTGGAGCTCCCGATGGGGCCACGAAACGCTGTACTGGGTGTGGCTGACGCATGCGGGCACCCCCACTGGAGCCTTCGGAGGAGCTCCCTGGACACATGCGGGCATCCCCACTGTCTCCTTCGGTGGAACTCCCTATGGGGCAACGAAACGCTGTGCTGGGTGTGGCGGACGAATGCGGGCACGCCCAATGGGGCCTTCGGTGGAGCTCCCGATGGGGCCACGGAACGATGTCGCGGGTGTGGCTGACGCATGCGGACACTCCCACTGTGGCCTTCGGTGGAGTTCCCTGTGGGGCTGCGGAACGCTGTACTGGGTGGCGGGCGCATGCGGGCACCCCGACTGAGACCTTCGGTGGGGTTCCCGACGGAGTCCCGAAACGCTGTGCTGGGTGTGGCTGACGCACGCGGACGGTCCCACTGGGACCTTTGGTGAAGCTCCCTCTGGGGCCACGAAACGCTGCGTTGTGTGGCGGACGCATGCGGGCACCCCCGCTGGGGTCTTCGGTGGAATTCCCCATGGGGCCACGAAACGCTGTACTGGGTGTGGCTGACGCATGCGGGCACCCCCACTTGGGCCTTCGGTGGAGCTCCCTATGGGGCAACGGAACGCTGTACTGGGTGTGGCGGACGCATGCGGGCACCCCCACTGTGGCCTTCGGTGGAGCTCCCTCTGGGGCCAGGAAACGTTGAAATTATGGGGCATTCGGTGGAGCTCCCTATGGGGCCACAAAACGCTGTACTGGGTGTACCAATGTGAGGGAGGGACGGGAGGGGGCAGCGGGAGGGGACGGGAGGGAGGGGAGGAGGGGGGTGACGGAAGGCGGGACGGAGAAGTGAACGGAACGCGGGGGCCGTCTCTTCAAAACGAGGACCCAACACCACAGGATGGTTGGGAAAAAAGGGTGGCCAGAGCAGTAGAAGCCTCACAGACTCAGACGAAGCCAAGACGACGACAAAATTGGGTGAGGACACATTCCGGAGGAAGAGGAGGAGGGGTAGGAGGAGCAGGCGGAGGAGGAGGAGGAGGAGGAGGAGGAGGAGGAGGAAGAGGAAGCGCATGGGGGGCCGCTTTCCCGTCCCGAATATGTGAAGTATTGCGGTTCTGGTGGGGGGGTGTCTCGGGCGTCGCGGTCTTCTCAGAGCGTTCCAAAGCGCTCTGAAAGCGGCTCTGGAACGGATTATCCTCGTCATACCCCCGCCCGACTAGAAGCGTCTCGGATGGGTTTCGCGCAGATGGGATCGGAGAATCGCGCAGCATCGCCATTGCATCGGCGATGCATCGTCGATGCATCGGCGACGTCGAGGATGCATCGGCGCCATCGGCGTGGAGAAAATCTGGCTCCAGATCGAGCTGCATCGGCGATGCATCGCCGATGCGGTGCGATCCTCCGACGCCATATACACACTCGGGCTCCATCTGGGAAGCGTAGAAGCACGGTCCCAAACCTCCAACGAATTCAAACATTCGCCGCCGTCGGCCTGTCTCCGAAAAGTTTTCGATGGATGGAGTTTCGTCGGCCTGTGGGGGTCCTCGCAGGGCCCTTGGACCGCCAAAAAGCGATTCGGGATGAAAAGCCCCAGCGAGAAGGTCAGGACGTTCGGGGACCCCGCTTTGCAAAAACAGGACATCGCATTTCCGGGGTGCAACACCATCACCAAGCCTCCAATGACTGGGCGTTGCAATCGCGCACCTTCCACGCAGTTTTCGGGCCCTGGGGAGCCCCTCTGGGCCCCAAAACTGCACGAATGGAGTTCTGGGACCGAACGGACAGCGCACCACGAGGAGCCCAGAGGGCCACGACGGGAACTGCTCCGCGAGCCGCATGGCAAGGCGACCCACACGGCACTGGCGACCCAGACGCGAAGGAATTGGCGGACAACCAGCGAGTCGGGATCGAACCACGATTTGCCATCTAAGTCGATCGGCAAGACAGCGATGTTCCGGCGGCAAACAGCCGCAGAGAGCTGGGCAGAGCCTGCAAAAAGCTCCAACACAACAGTGCGAGGGAAGCTCTTTTTTTGCACGCCGGAAGATTCATGGTGTTCGTCCAAATGGAGACGACGAGTCGAGCTTTTCGAGCTTACGGGGCGGCGCTGCGGCAAGCACGGGCTAGATCAGCGACGGCGTGGGGGCCAGGGCGCCGCTGGGGATGCTCACTGAGAGGCCGGCGTCCATCGCCTGGCCGGAAGGCGACGACGAGCGCCCCGTCGCGCTGCAGCCCGGCGACAATGCGGGCCCGCTTCTCGCAGCGGCGGAAGTTCTCGTCCGAGGCCCAGCCGCGGCGCTGCTGCACACCCAGAGCCCGGCGCCTCCTCGAAGCAGATTGTCCGCGGCCCCGCCGCGGCGCCGCCCGCGCGCGGGGGCCCGAATTCCGTCGAGCCCGGTCCGGCAGCCTCCCTCGCGGCCATCCCCGGCGAGGCCACGGGGAACGACCGCGGCCAGCTCAAGGGCGCCATGGCCCGCCGCTCGAGCGCCAGCAAAGCTGGGGCGAGGAATGGGTAGATGTCCATCACCACGGTAAAATCCTGGAGCCCCGCCTTGTCCGGGCGGCCACGCTCGGAGGGGCTCGGAAGGGCAAAGCATCAGGGCGGCGAGGCCGCTGGCGACGCCAGCCCCCGCGACGGGGGGCGCCGCCTGGCAGGCGGCCAGCAGGTCGCATTCGGACGGGCGCGGGCAGCAGGCGAAGCTGAGGGCCATCGCGATGCCATCCTCGATCAGCCGCCTGAATGGCGCCCGCGAGCGCGGCGACAACCCGATCGACCGGGGGGCGGCATCCGCGTCCGACGCGGGGCGCACTCGCCCCAATGCGCCAGGCCGCGAGACGAATGGAACAGCGCCAGGTCCCTCTGCCGCCCGATGGGAGCAAGGAAAAACTGGAGAGCCGCCAGCAGGCGAGACACGTCGCCCCCGCTGTGCCCCTGGAAAAATAGGAAGTCGATGTAGGCCACCACGATGGCGTTGAGCTGGGACCACGCAAGCTCGCGCGCGCCTCCGATTCCCGCAACGTCGCTTTGCCTATTGATCTCTGCTAGAGGTAAGTCAAGCTCATCGCCAGGCTGCCGCGCAACGCTTCCCGCCGGCGGGCCGCAGCCGCGCTCGGCAAGGGCGCCGACAAGACCCCGGCGCCAGCGCCCCGGCGGGCGGGAGGCCCGCGCGACCCGTCGGCAAGGGGGGCCGCGCCGCGCGCCCGCCCATGCCCGAGCATGCCGTGGCGAGGGGGCAGGCGATGATCCAGGCCATAAGCAGCGCCTGCATCGAGCGACTCGACGCAGGCCTGCCCGCACGACGGGCCGCCGGAAGGATTGAGCTCGCCGGGGGCCCAGCGAGCAACAACGCGAAGCTTGCAAGCCAACGAGAGGGCGCAGATTTTCCAGTGGACGCCGGCCGCCGGGCCGACGCGCCACGCCTTTTACCAATTGCGAGCGCGAGCGACACGGTGTCAACGAGGCAGACGACACGCTCGCCGAAAGCCCCGGCGGCGCGCCACTGGCGGCGGCCAAAGCTGACGGCCACGCCGTCGGCACGGCAGTTGTCGAAGGTGCCCCACCAGGGGAAGCTGCGAGTGACGGAACAGCCGTCGCCAGCGAGCTGATCGGGAACTACCTCCCCGAACGTCTTGTTCCAATTTTTGGCCTCCTCTGACGGCAGCCGCCCGGGGTCGCGAAGCGCTGCCGCCGTGCCCGCCGCCCACGCGCGCGCCAAGCCCTCGCAAAAATAGCGCCACCTCTCCGCGGCACGCCCAAGCCCGGCAGCGACGTCGGGCGCGCAGCAGCGGCGGCGGACCCCGCAGCCCCAGACCCGACGCGCCACCAGCCGCGAGCTCGTCGCGCCACCTGGCGAGGACTACGAACAGCAGCAGGGGCGAGCGCGCCCGCCAGAGCTTGCGGCGGACCGCAGACCAGAGCGGTTGAGCCTCGTCCTTCGCCGCCAGGATGACGGCGCAGACGGCGTCGAATATGGCGGGCGAGCACCTCGAGGAGCATGATCCACGCGCGGCGGCCGCGGACGACCCAGGGTCGATTGCATAACGGAGGCGCCAGTCTCACCGCGCCGAAACGCGAGCGGCGCGCTGCTGGGCGTCGAGGTCCAGGCCGACGAAGTCGGCCTGGCGGGCGGCGCCCACCTGCCCGCGCACGACAAACCCAACGACGACAGCTCGCGCTCGACCCTGCTTGCGACGGCCTGGACCCACGCTGCGGTCACAGACCAACTGCTCCGGGGCCGCGCGGACACCGGCCAGGGAGGCCTCTGCGACGCAGAGGCGGAGGCAACAGGCCCAAGACCAGCCCATCGGCAGGGCGGCGAGCTCGGGCAGCAGCCACTCCGATTCGTCAACGGCGACGCCGCCCAGAGCGCCAACGCCAGTCAGGCCAGCCTGGACAGGGGACACGGGATCGCAAAGCCCCGCCCGCGCCTGCATGGCGCACTAGGCGTCGTAGACGCCCCCGCACCTGAACCACGCGTCGCCGCCGCCCTCCGTCTCCACGCGGGCGGAGGCGCCGACGCGCGCATCGAAGACTAATCGCTGCTGGCCTGACTTCTCGACGACGACGGACGCGCCTGGCAGGCCCCGCGGCCTGGAGCGGGCAAATCGACGCATCCCGCGCCCCCGCAGCTCGGCAAAGAACTGACCATAGTTGACGGGGTCGCATACCTTAGGATCAACGCGGGGTCGACGGAGACCGACATCGCTCCGTAGAGCATCTGCTTCCGCCGGCGGGCGAAGCACGCGGGCCTTCCGATCCTGCAGCCATGATGCCATGAACGGCCAGCCATGAGCAGGGCGGCCCGCGGCGCCGCCAGCGCGGATCCCCCGCTGGGCCGCAACGCGAGAGCCTCGCTGCAGGATGCCACGTCGCTGCGCCCTGCAGTGCATAGCGGACAACTGGAGCAGAGGTCGGCAAGGCAACGCTCGGGGCCGACGCCAGCTGGCGGGCCGCCAAACTCAACGCACCGGTAGAAATGAGGTCGAGCGACTGGCGCCACAAAAACGGCGCCCCCTCCCGCGCGGGGAGCGCCCCCCCGCCCCCCAGCAGATGAGAGCGTCGACGCCGTCGCACGCCGAGCAAGCCTGGGCCCCCACGAAGCCCCCCCCCAGCTCGTAGGCAAAGGCGCGCCAGGACAAAGACGAAGAAGAGGACGACGGCAGGGGCACGCAGCGAGGCGCGAGCCCCCCGGACGGCCGACTCCCTGGCGGCACCTGATCACACCGAAGGGAAGGCGGGCCAGGCCTCGCCGCGCCCGCCGCCGCCAGAGCTGCGCCCACCGCCGCCAGAGCCGCCTCTGGCAGGGGGGGCGGAGCAACAAGCGCCCCTCGCGGCGCTCTTTCGCGATGGCCGACTCGGCCGAAGGCTGCTTGGCGATGCGCACTGACAGGGCGGGGGTGACCATGATCCCGCGCGCGGACTGCAGCACGGCGAAAAAAAACGCGCGTCGCCGCCACCCCCGACGAGACTGCGCACGGAGACGACCTTGTCCTTGCAGCGCTCCTCGCAGAGCTGCAGCTAGCGCTCGACCAGCTCTATCGACGCAAGGCTCGAGCCGTCGACCTGGTCACGCGACTGGGCAACCTGCATGGCCTCCGAGAACTCGCAGCGCATCGAGACGATCGGGTTGTCGGGAGGAACGCCGGCGCCCTGGGCAGCAATTCCAAGCGAGGTGGTGCCCGAGAGGTGAGCCGCCGTTGTCCACCCGGCAGGTCGCGACCCAGCCGCATGTGGACGGGCCCGCGACGGGCCAGCCTTGAAAGACCGTAGGCCGCATGAGCTGGGCGCTGTCACGATGCGCGCGGCGTCGCTGACCCTGGTCGCCGCTGACGGTCGCGATTGCACGCAGGTCGCCACTGCCGGGCATGGCAGGGGCGGCGCTGCAAGAGGCGGCAACCGGGGCGGGCGCGGCGGGGGGGCCAGCGGCGGGGCCGGCCACCAAAGCTGCCAGGCTCGCCGAGCCAGCGGGGGCAGGCGCGGCGACGGGGCCCCAGCGGCGGCAGCGCCCACGGCGGGAGGCGCGGCGCCGGCGCCGGCGGCAAAAGCAAGAAGCCCGGCCGCGGCGGCCGCGGCCATGCCAGCCGGGATGCCAACCGCCACCCCTCTACCGAAGGGCCCAGCGGCGCGACCGCGGAGTCGTAATACCGTGCACCTGCTGGACGGACGCGGACGCCCGCTGGGGCGCCAGCGGCGCGGTGCTTCCACCAGTCGCGGAAATCGGCGCTGGCTGACGACAGCGAAGTGTTCCACGTTCGTCGCCGACAGGCCGACGTCCCCGCGTTTCTGCAGGAGCCGCGGCGGAGGCTCGCCATACACGACGCACAACTCGTCGCCGACTGCGATCATGAGGAGCGGTCGCGCCCTCCGACACGCGGCGGGCGGCCCGCTGGCCAGTCAAGCAGCGCGGGCGACAGGTCGTCCTCGAGCGGCCGGGTCTAGCGCGACGGCCGCAGGCGGCGCCCGCGACCCGGCAAGCGAGCCCCAGCGCGCAGCGGGCGAACCCCAGCCCAGCAGCAAAACGACCCCGAGGCCGAACTCCCAGTGCAGCGAGGGGCACTGCTTGCCTGCGGCCTCGCAGACCGGGCAAGCGGGGCAGGGCGAGGGACAGGAGCGGGGGCCCTCCCTCGCGTCGAGCGCGGCCGCCAGGCAGTCCGCCAGCGGCACCTGGATCCCGGCGGCCTTGGCAGGTTCTGGGATGAGCACCGCCTTGAAGAGCTGACGTGGCGCCGCCAGGGGCGCCGCGGGCGGGAAGGGCAGCAGCCACCACCGCGCGAGGAAGAAGGTGAAGAGGTTGCTGAGGAGCAAGAGCCCGAGAGCACGGTGCATGCACCAGGCGAGAACCCCCCCCCCCCCCCGAAAAAATTGACCTGGCGAAGGACCCAATCATATGCAGTTGTTCGCACGGCAATTGTGAATATCTTCTTCGGTGGCGCTCCCTGTGCGGCCCCGAAATGTGGGAAGGGCGTGCCGACGTGGGTGCGGGGGACGCATGTGGACGGTGGCACTCGGGCATTCGGTGGAGCTCCCTATGGGGCCACGAAACGCGCGAGGGGCGTTCCGAAATGGGTGCGGGAAACGCATGTGGACGGTGGCACTGGGGCCTCAGATGGAGCTCCATATGGGGCCACGAAACGTGTGAGGGGTTGTGCCAACATGAGTGCGGGGGACACATGTGGATGGTAGCAATGGGGCCTTCGGTGGAGCTCCCTATGGGGCCACGAAACGTGCGAGGGGCGTGCTGACATGGGTGTGGGGGACGCATGCGGACGGCGGCGCCGGGGCCTTCAGTGGAGCTCCCTATGTGGCCACGACACGTGTGAGGGGTGTGCCGAAATTCGTGTGGGAGACGCATGTGGACGGTGGCACTGGGGCCTTCGGTGGAGCTACCCATGGGGCCTCGAACCGTGTGAATGGTGTGCCGAAATGGGCGTGGAAGACGCATGTGGACGGTGGCACTGGGGCCTTCGGTGGAGCTCCCTATGTGGCCACGACACGTGTGAGGGGTGTGCCGAAATTCGTGTGGGAGACGCATGTGGGGTAGCACTGGGGCTTTCGGTGCAACGACCTATGGGGCTTCGAACCGTGTGAATGGTGTGCCGAACTGGGTGTGGGGGACGCATGTGGAGGGTGGCAATGGGGCCTTCGGTGGAGCTCCTTCTGGGGCCACGAAACGTGTGAGGGGTTGTGCCGACATGAGTGTGGGGGACACATGTGGACGGTAGCAGTGAGGCCTTCGGTGGAGCTCCTTATATGGCCACGAAGCGCTGCACTGAGTGTGCGAAACGCAACCAGGAAGAAGGAGGGCGAAGAGGGAGGACGAGAAGGAGGAGGAGGAGGAGAACGCGGGGACCGTCATTTCAAAACGAGGACCCAACACCGCAGGATGCTTGGGAAAAAATTAGCCTAACGAAGGGCCCAGCCAAATGCAACTGCGAATACCACATTGTGGGTACCGCGATCGGTGGAGCTCCCTCTGGGGCCTCGGAACGAGTGAGGGGTGTGCTGAAGTGGGTGACGGGGACGCATGCTACCTCGGCCTTTTGGGCCTTCAGTGAGGCCCCATCTGGGACCACGAAACGTGTGAGGGGTGTGCCGAACTGGGCGGCGGGGACGCATGCAACCTCTGCCTTTTGGGCCTTCGGTGCAGCTCCCTCTGGGGCCACGAAGCGCGTAAGGAGTGTGCCGACTTGGGTGGCGGGGACGCGTGCAAGCTCGGCCTTTTGGGCCTTCGGTGGGGCTCCCTCTGGGGCCACGAAACGTGTGAGGGGATGTGCCACAATGGGTGGCGGGGACGCATGCAACCTCGGCCGTTGGGGCCTTCGATAGAGCTCCCTCTGGGGCCACGAAACGTGTGAGGGGTGTGCCGAATTGGGTGGCGGGGACGCATACAACCTATGCATTTTGGGGCATTCGAGGGAGCTCTATATGGGGCCACGAAACGAGTGAGAGGTGTGCCGAAGTGGGCGGCGTGGACGCATGCAACCTCGGCCTTCTGGGCCTTCGGTGGGGCTCCCTCTGGGGCCACGGAACGTGTGACGGGTGTGCCAAAGTGGGTGGCGGGGACGCATGCAACCTCTGGCTGCTGGATACAACCTCGGCCTGCTGGGCCTTCGGTAGAGACCCCTTCTGGGGCCACGAAACGTGCGAGGGGTGTGCCGACATGCGTGGCGAGGACGCATGCAACCTCTGCCTTTTGGGCCTTCGGTGCAGCTCCCTCTTTGGCCACGAGACGTGCGAGGGGCGTGCCGAATTGGGTGTGGGGGGGCGCATGCAACCTCTGCCTTTTGGGCCTTCGGTGGAGCTCTATATGGGGCCACGAAATCTGTGATGGGAGTACCGAATTGGGTGGCGGGAACGCATGCAACCTCGGCCTTCTGGGCCTTCGGTGGAACTCCCTCTGGGGCCACGAAACGTGTGAGCGATGTGCCGGATTGGGTGGCGGGGGCGCATGCAACCTCTGCCTTTTGGGCATTCGGTGCAGCTCCCCCTGGGGCCACGAAATGTGTGAGGGGTGTGCAAAACTGGGTGGCGGTGACGCATGCAATCTCGCCCTTTTGGGCCTTCAGTGGGGCTCAATCTGAGGGCCACGAAACGTGTAAGCGGTGTGCCGAGTTGGGTGGCGGGGCCGCATGCAACCTCTGCCTTTTTGAGCCTTCGGTGCAGCTCCCTCTGGGGCCACGAAACGTGCATCGGGTTTTACCGAATTGGGCGGCGGAGACGCATGCAACCTCTGCCTTTTGGGCCTTCGGTGCAGCTCCCTCTGGGGCCACGAAAGGTGTGAGGGGCGTGCCGAATTGGATGGCGGGGACGCATGCAACCTCTGCCTTTTGGGCCTTCGGTGGAGCTCCCTCTGGGGCCACGAAACGTGTGAGGGGTGTGCCGAAGTGGGCGGCGGGGACGCTTGCAACCTCGCCCTTTTGGGCCTTCGGTGGGGCTCAACCTGGGGACACGAAACGTGTGAGGGGTGTGCCGAAGTGGGCGGCGGTGACGCACGCAAGCGCTGCCACTAGAGCATTCGGTGGAGCTCCCTATGGGGCCACGAAACGCTGTCCTGGGTGGCGTTGGCGCCGAGAGAGGAAGGGGGAGGCGCGCGGGAGGTGAGGAGCCACGAACCGTGCGAGGGGCGTGCCGAAATGGGCGACTATGGCGCATAAGATGGTGAAGTGATGATGATGATGATGTTGATGCTGCTGCTGCTGCTGCTGCTGATGATGATGATGATGATGATGATGATGATGATGATGATGATGATGACGATGATGATGGTGGTGGTGGTGATGATGATGATTCTTAGGATGCGGATGAGGGGAGGAGGGGATGGAGGTGGAGAGGAGAGGAGAGGAGGACCGCGGGGCCCGTCTCTTCAGAACGAGGACCCAACACAACATAATGGTTGGGAACTAGAGCAGACGCGGCAGCGGAGCAGACGCGACAACATTCAGTAACTCTGAGTTAATGTGTGCAAACACAGCCATCAGCACCACCACCACCGTCATCGCCACCATCATCGCCACCATCATCATCATCATCATCAGCAGCAGCAACAGTAGCAACATCATCATCATCACCATCATTACCATCATCAGCAGCAGCATGAGCATCATCATAGTGCTCAGTATCATCATCAACAGCAGCATCATCATCAGCATCAGCATCAGCATCAGCATCATCATCATCATCATCGTCATCAACAACAGCAGTATCAGCATCATCATCAGCAGCATCAACAACCTCACGATCATCATAAGCATCATACATATCATCAGCAACATCATCAGCATCATAATCAGCATCAACATCAGTCTCAACAGCAACAGCAGCATCAGCAACAGCAGGATCAGCATCATCAGAGTCCGCATCATTATCATCAACAGCCACAAAGACAACAGCAACAGCACCAACCACAACAACAACGGCAACAGTATTACAAGCCACAACAGCAACACCAATCACAGCAATATCAACAACAACACAAACAACGGCTACGACTACAACAGCAACTAAAACAACTACAACTATCTCAACAACCGACACTAACAACTTCAATACCAACAACGACAAAAAGCATCACAGCCATAATCACAACAACGACCACAACTACAAAACAAGCAGCACCACAATTACAACAAAACCACAAACAACAACAACAACAACAACAACAACAACACCACCACCACCACCAACAACAACAACAACAACAACAAGGACAACCACAACAACAGCAACAACGACAACAGCAGCAGCAACCACAAACACCGCAATCGCAACGAACACAACAACCACAACCACGAAAACAACAACAACAACAAAAAACATAGCCTGGCGACGGACCCAACCATATGCAGTTGTGAATGCCGCAATTGTGCTGGGTGGTGGCGGACGCATGCGGGTGGTGCCACTGGGACCTTCGGTGGAGCTCCCTATGGGGCCACGAAGCGCTGTACTGGGTGGGTGAGACGCGGTCAGCACGGGCTGTGCTGCGTGGTGGCGGACGCATGCGAGCGGTGCCACTGGGACCTTCGGTGGAGCTCCCTATGGGGCCACGAAGCGCTGTACTGGGTGGGTGAAGCGCAGGCAAGGATCAAGGGCTGTGCAGGGTGGTGGCGGACGCATGCGGGCGGTGCCGCTGTGACCTTTGGTGGAGCTCCCTATAGGGCTACGAAGCGCTGTTCTGGGTGGGTGAAGCGCTGGGAACAAGGGCTGTGCTGGGTGGTGGCGGACGCAAGCGGGCAGTGCCACTGGGACCTTTGGTGGAGCCCCCTGTGGGGCCACGAAACCTGCGAGGGGTGTGCCAGAATGGGGTGTGGAACCGCATGCGGGCGCAGCCACTGGGGCCTTCGGTGGAGCTCCCTATGGAGCCACGAAACGTGTGAGGGGTGTGCCGAAATAGGGGGTGGAACCGCATGCGAGCGCAGCCACTGCGGCGTTCGGTGGAGCTCCCTATGGGGCCACGGGACGTGTGAAGGGCGTGCAGAAAAAAAGGGTGTGGAACCGCATGCGAGCGCAGCCACTGGGACCTTCGGTGGAGCTCTCTATGGGGCCACGAACCGTGTGAGGGGTGTGCCGAAATGGGAGGGGGGGAACCACATGCGAGCGCAGCCACTGGGGCCTTCGGTGGAGCTCCCCATGGAGCCACCCACGAAGCGTGGGAGGGGTGTGCCAGAATGAGGGGTGGGACCGCATGCGAGCGCAGCCACTGGAGCGTTCGGTGGAGCTCTCTATGGGGCCACGAAACGTGTGAGAGGTGTGCCAGAATGGGGGGTGGAACCGCATGCGGGCGCAGCCACTGGAGCGGGGCCAGTGTACGCTCCAATGCTCCACCCGGC